GCCTCGTGGGCTTTCTTGGGAGCCTCTTGCGCCAGAAGATTCGAAGTGTTGGGTCGGGGTCCCTCTCTGGGGCTTCTGTTGGGGCCATCTTGGGGCCCTCTCGGAGCGCCTAGGGTGCCTCCGAGGTAGTCCTGGAGCCCTCTTGGGCCGTCTTGGGGCCCTCTTGAGTAGCCTTGGGGCTCCTTGGGCAGTTTTGGGGCGCTCTTGGGAGCCTCTGGCCGTCTTGGTGCGATCTTGTGGGCCTCTTGGGCCGTCGTGGAGCGTCGGAAACTCGAAAAGGGGAGCATGTCAAAATGCGTCAAAACTACAGGAAACAGACAATCTTGGCCTCATGAGCCCCTCTTGGGGGTGCTGTTGGAGTGCTCTTGGGGCCTCTTGGGGGGCCTTTCAAGCGTTCTTCGGGCCTCTAGGGAAGTCTTGGAGACGTCTTGGGCCGTCTTGGGCCGTCTTAGAGGCCTCCTGAAGGCCTCTTGGGCCGTCATGACGCCATCTTGGGCCGTCTTGGGTACATCTTGGGTCGTCTTCGAAATATCTTGCAGCAATCTTGGGCTCTCTGGCATCCGGGGTGGCACTCTGTTGTGATTCCCACGACCCGCCCCCCCCCCCCCCTTGGAAAACGCAGCACAGCGCGTCACCCCCCCACCCCCCTACCCTGGCAGAGCCACCCCGGCACCCACCCCCCAGCAGAGCAGAAGCTCAGGAACTGAAGCTGAGGCTACATCTAAGGCTCTTTCAAACTCACACGCCGGATCGGCGGATTCGAGCACCGTCTTTTGTGATTCTGGAAGTTCTTGAACGTCGTTTCGGATGTGTTGAATTTTTGTTTGTTTTGCAAGATCAGTATTCCAAAATTTTGGAGTGTACGGACTCGTGTTTTTGGTTATACGGAAATTTCAGGCATTGCATACATGGTGACCTGGAATCCTGGAGCGGGTTCTTGTGCCAGCGTTTACATCGGATTGTTGCCGTTCGGGGAAGTTTTGGGGATTGTTGATCTAGGCGCCTCTGCGGGCGTCTTGGGTTCCTCTTGTGGCCTCCTTTGGACGCTCGTGGGCGGTCTTGGGCCCTCCTCTGCGGTTCTCTGGGATCATTCTTGGGCCGTCTTGGAGGCGCGTGGGACGTCTCGAAGCCATCTTGGACCGTCTTGGGGCGATCCTGGGCCGTCTCGACACTTTCCTGGGCTGTGTTTGCGCTCTGTTTGGGCTCTCGTCGGCCATCTTGAGGCTCTTTGGAGGCTCCGGAAGCCTGGGGGGTACGTTGAGGAGCTCGTCTACCCTCCCCCCCCAGGGCCCCCCCCTCCAATCCGATCTTGGATCCCTGGGGAGGGTGAGAGGGGGATGAGACAGCCAAATGTCTTACACCCCTTTTCAACCCGGGCGGATTCTCCTTCTCCTCCTCCTCCTCCTCCTCCTCCTTCTCCTCCATGCCTCTCTTGCTTTCTCGCCTTGCCTCCGCCATCGTTCTGCCCTATTCCGACCTATTCTTTCTCCCTCAGCAGCTGCCTTCTTTTCCTGCTCCTCCTTCCTCCTCCTTTCGGATGCAACTCCTGGGAAGGCATTCTGAAATTGACCTGGTCCGAAATCCCGCTTAATGCGGCGTGATCCCGTTTAATCCGACTTGATCCGGCTTACTCCCGGTTAGTCCGGTTTAATCCTGCTTAATCCGCGGCCTAATCGGGCGTAGCAGCCCCAAACATTCATCCTCAGCTCCTCCTCCTCCTCCTCCTCCTCCTCCTCCTCCTCCTCCTCCTCCCCCCCTCAGTACTTCCTCAAGAGGCCCCCGGAGGCCAGAGGCCACCACGGCAGCCCCAGAGGCCCCTCTGACTTCCCCAGGATCCTTCCCCTCCCCGGAAGAGCGCTAAGGATGCCCGCCGGGGCCGTCTGGGGGCTCTCTGGGGGGCTGGGGGACAGCAGCGGGGGGGGGAGGAGCTTTCGGGGAGGATCGACGAGGAGGATCGAGGAGGAGAAGAAGAAGGAGGAGGAGGACAAAACGGTCCTCAGCTCGAAATTCCAAGGAGGAAGATCAGATGCGGATCGAGGAATGGACTCGAGGACGAGGAAGAGGACGAGGCCGCGGGCTCGTCGATCCTCAATGTTGTACGCGCGTGTCGATTTGAGTGCAGTTGTGCACCTCTTGCCCCGACCCGAGCACCAGTTCGCGCCCTTTGGCGTCGAACGCGCTGGCTTCCAAACCCGCTGCTCCTTTTCTGTCGGGCACAGCCAATCTACCCGCTTAGCGCTGGACTCCTACTTGAGCGCGCGGGAGGCGCGCGCGATGGTTTTAGTTGTTTGTTTCGAGGGATCCTGGCATTGGGAGGGGGGGTCCGTGCAAAGAATTCTCCGCGTTGAGAGGGGGGGGCCCTCTGGAGACGACATAATGCCTACCAGACAGCCCTTGGCATTGTACCACGCCTCATTGTGCCAGGGGGCACGGTGGCGGATAACAGTCTCCTACATGTGGCGGCATCATCCGGGATTCCAAGTTGCTTTTTCGCCTGGTATCTTCCGGCACAGGAGGATCGACAGAACCGCGTACGCATGGACCGATGGCATGCCAGAGCAGTAGCTGCTGTGGAAAACTTCAGGGACCCCCAGGGGACAGGCCAGGAGGGGGAGCAAGAAGAGGAGCACGAGGAAGAGAACGAGGAGGAGGAGGAGGAGGCTCGCCGCAAGTCGAGTTCGTCTGCTGTTTCTGCCTCTGCGTTTGCTTTTCCTCCTGCTACTTCTCGCCCCGAGATGTCGCAAGAGGGCCCCTGTGAGGCGAACATCTGCAACATTTCTCACAGTTTCGCGTATCCCCACCAGCAATTGTGGCTCAATATCAAGGCACATTGGTTTGACGCAGGGCGGGCAGGCTAACGTCCCCTACGCCCTACTGGGCAAAGTGCCTGTATTATCGCAGCGATGCGCGTCATTGGTTTATCCCAGGTTGTCGTTGAAGCGGAGGTTCTTTGCATTATCGTCTGTTATGCCCTGGCCACAGGCCGTTATGCTCGACATATTTGGATTAACGGTTGTGGTTTGGCATTGAGTGGTCTTGGGCCGTCTCCGGCCGTCGGAAGGCCGACGAGAAGTTGGGTCATCTTCGAGCCATCTTGGGCCGTCTTGATGGCCTCCTGGTCCGTCGGACGCCGTCGGAAGTCGTCTTGAGGGCCTCTCTCTCTGGGCCGACCTGGCGGCCCTCTTGGGGTCTTCGTGGGCTGTCTTGGAGGCCTCGTGGGCCGTCTTGTGGCCCTCGTTGAGGCCGTCTTGGGGCCCTCGTTGGGGCCGTCTTGGGAGCCTCTTGGGCCCTGCTGGGGCCATCTTGGGAGGCCTCGTGGGCGATCTTGGGGCGACCTTTGGGGGCCCTTGGGCCGTCTCGGGCCGTCGGAGCCGAACAGAAGCAACTGCCAGCATCCTTCAAACACCCACGGAAATCAATGGTTTTGGTATCGTGGGGATTTCCTGGAGGAGGTCGGAGGGAGAAGGATTGGCTACGGTTATGGGTGCAGGTTGTCGGACCCCGGGGAGGTTCCTGTTTGAGAGGGGATCCCCAGCCGACAATGCGCACCCATAGCCCTGTCCGTCCCCGCAATGGGTGTGGTTGTGTGTGCATGCTGCTCGTTCTCCCTTTCCGTCCTCCCTGAGGGTATGTGTGTAGGTGTGTTGTTCGCTCGGCGAAATGTCCACATATCTAGACTGTTCACGCCATACGGCTGGCGGGATTCGTAACGTTGTTCAGGCAGGTACAAGGATGTACGGGCATCCTGTGGGAATCGTGCGCTGTAGTGCCCACGGAGGTCAGTGCTGGGCATGCAAACACGTGGTTTGTGTCCTAGGAGACGTGGCCAGAGAGAGAGAGAGAGAGAAAGAGAGAGAGAGAGAGAGAGAGAGAGAAAGAGAGAGAGAGAACGAGGGAGGGAGGGAGGGAGACCTCGCGCGAAAGAGAGAGAGAGAGAGAGAGCGAGAGAGAACCAAGCAGATAATGGAATACAGACCCATGTGCTCAGATGTGCTATTCAGGGTTGCCCCCCCCCCCCCCCAGTGCGTGTGGGATCGAGCCTCTCCCGATGCATGTGGGAGTAGCCGCCCTCCCGTGAGCCTCGCGAAGGCCTCGCCAAAGGGATCGCCCCCGCTCCCCCCCTGAGGTCGTGGCCGTGTGGTGGTGGGTGCCGGTACCCCCCTCCTCTTGTTCAAGCAGTGGCCAAGCGTCCTGGCTCGCCCATAGCCCTGCCAAACAATGTTCTAAGAACCTTGTGGTTTCCACGACATGTTCTTAGAACAGTTCTGGCTGGGACTGTCTTGTTTTAACACATCGGGTTTATGTTCTAAGAAGATTGTTCTTGTTATTCGAACATTTTTGGATTCTAAGAACATGTCGTGGTATGACTACAGGGGTGCCGGGACGGTCGGTCCCTGCTCCCCTCGTGGGTGTGGGATGGTTCGTGTTCGTCGTCGTTTGCCGTCAGCGCTGGCATCGGCGGCGCCGTCTTTGCTCTCCCTCGGCGTTTTGGCGTCGGTGGCCGCGTCGTCGTTGTCGTCTTCCGTCGGCGTCGTCGTCGGCGTCGGCGTCGGCGTCGGCGTCGGCGTCGTCGTCGTCGGCGTCGGCGTCGGCGTCGACGTCGGCGTCGACGTCGCCATCCGTCGGCGGCGGCGGCGGCGTCGTCGTCCTTTCCCCCCCATTCCATTCGTCGGGGGGGCTGTGGAACACTGGGGCCCATCCCACCTCGAGGGGGGGCTGTGAACCCTCGACGCGGGAGCATATATACGCATCTGTAGATATGAGCAGATATAGGCATATAGTGGTACACACATATCTGTATATGTAGATCTACTGGTGTAGATAGATGAGAGAGGGAGGGTGAGGGATAGAGAGAGAGAGAGAGAGAGAAAAAAAAAAGGGGGAGAGACCGTGATACATATATATATATATATGCAGGAGCAAGCAGCACACTTTCATTGGCAGGTGTAGGCAGAGGCAGAGACAGAGATTGAGAAGCTCAGAGCAGCTACAAGGCTCTGATGGTCCTCTTCGAGTCATCATACCAGCTGTGCGCGTGGTACCTTCAGGGCCACCCGCTGAATGCCCTGGGCGAGTACCAGAGCCTCGACGTGCACGCCGAGGCGGTGAGAGCGGTCTCGCGCGGGCCCTATCCGTGGGGCTCTTGCCGTGCGCCGACGGACCCGCCGCGCCGCCTGCAGAGCGCGCCCGCCGTGTGCGGCCGCCCCGCTGTCAACCTTGCTCGCCTCGAGGTCCGAGGTCCTCGACGGCATTCCGGCCTCCTGATTTCGGAGCGTGGCTCTGAAGTCATGGTCTCGGGAGCGCGACCTGGTCTCAGAACGCGACGCGATTGGAGGACGTGCCCTCCTTCGAGGCCCGAGGCTCGAGGGTTCGGAACGTGAAGTCGTCGGTCCCCGACGGGCCCCCAAACCCCCACGGTGCCTTCCGGGTGGGTGCACCTCGCCCGGGGCGCTCCTCCCCGATGGGGTGGCCGCGTCGCCCCGAGCGGCCGCGGGAGGCTCGAGGCTCGAGGCCATGACCTGGGCACCAGCACGGGATGGGCTCAAGTCGGGCCTGTCCCCCCTGCAGGGGGATTTTCGACGAAAAAGAGGAAGTACCCCCCACATAGCCAAAACATGGTCCAAACGCGGCTCGAGGCTCGAGGCTATGACCTGGGCACCAGCACGGGATGGGCTCAAGTCGGGCCTGTTCCCCTACAGGGGGTTCTTCGAGGAAACAGAAAAAATACCCCACAAATAGCCAAAACATAGTCCAAACATAGCCTGGGGACTGTTTTGGGGGTATTTTTTGCGTTTCTGGGGTCTTTTTGGGGTACTCGTCATTTTTCGTTGAAAATCCTTTTGGATTTTCGACGAAAAAAATACCCCACACATAGCCAAAACATAGTCCAAACATAGTCTGGGGATTGTTTTGTGAATATTTTGTTATGTTTCTGGGGTACTTTTGGGGGTACTTTTTCATTTTTCTTTGAAAATCCCCCAGGTAGGGGGACGCCCGACACAAGGATGGGCTCAGGGGGGTCGCGTCGACCCCCGGTCGCCCAGTCTGTGGCCCAGGGAAGCACGCTGCGGAAGCCGTCGCCCTCGGGTGGAGAACGGCCGGGCAGGGTGCGGGTAGCCCCCTCCCCTTGTGGGCGTGGGATGGCTCGTGTTCGTCGTCGTTGGCCGTCAGCGTCGGTATCGTCGTCGCGTCCTCTTCGCTCTCCCTCGAACGGAGTGAACCCCACCCTCCCCCTCAAAAATCGTGGGGGGTAGGGGTAGGGTTCGCATGTGGCCCCCTAAAGTTGTCGTCCTCGGGTGGAGAACGGCAGGGCCGGGGGCACGCCGAGGCAGACCGCGGGGGGTGCAGTACGTGACGGCTGGGTGCTGGCTACTGCGCGAGGGCGAGGACGACGACGACCTGGATGTCATTACAGTGCCGTTTTTAATACATGTTCCGCGTGCGGATCATGTATTAAAAATGCAGGGATGTAGTATTAATAACAACGATGAGTTCATGCATACAGTTATTCATACATTAATCATGCATTAAAATCCCGTGTGTTTAAACATCCTATGTATTAACAATTGCCCTGTACAAAGGTAGGCCACCAGTGACGGGGACACGTCCATCTCTCATTCACGCCACGGCAGCATCTTCTTCGTTGTCATCGCTCTCGTCTTTATTATCACTACCCTCATTACCACCATCCTCACCATCTGAACAGGGCTCGATTCGATTCATCCGATTCGATTCGATTCGATTCTATTCGATTCGATTTCGACGGCTTCCGATTCCGATTCGATTTGATTTCGGACTCCGATTTGGATTCCGATTTCTCTGTGGAGACCTACTAGCCTGCCGATTTCCGCCGATTCAACTTCTCCCGACTCGGCTGCCGATTTCCGCCAATCCGATTCGTTCCGATCGCCGATCCGACCCTTCGATTCGGTTCTCGGCTCTCCTGTCTTTACTGCCGCAGCCATGGTTCAGAATCTGGAGCATCAGTACCATCGTCGGAATCCTCGTCGTCTTCGTGGCCGTCACTACAGTCGGGGCGCCGAAGAAGGAACCCTTGTCGTTGGGGAGGGGCTCGGTGTTCCCTGACTGTGTCGCAGTTTGCCCCTGGCTCTCCTCAGGTTTTCCCATGGCACATCGAAGCTTAACCCATGGGGAAAAAAGGGGCCTCGTTCCCTATGCAGGGTTTCTCAGGTCAACGCCCCGACTGTACCATCACGCCCCCCTCCTGCCCGGCGAAATTTTCCAGCATAACTTTGTTAATAATTTGCATATGCTGACACTTACACATGTGAGAAGGTTGTCGAACCTGACAGCCAGGCAGTAGAGCATTGGGCGTCGAGGGGGACTCCCCGCATGTGACGCTACCACCACCACCTCCTCCCCAGTGGGCTGGAGGCCTCCCGCGGCCTGCGGGCCTCCCGCGGCGAGGAGGCCTGGCGGACTGGAGCGCCGAGGACGCCCCCCTGCTGCCAGGCTTCGTGCGCATGCTCGCGGAGCTCCTCCTGGGGTGCATCGAGGGCCACGACCCCGAGGAGGCCTTCGCCCTGAGTGGAGGGAGGGGGAGGAGGGGGGTCCTCCTCCTCCTCCTCCCCCTCCTCCTCCTCCTCCTCCTCCTCCTCCTCCTCTTCTGTTTCCTCCCATGTTCCTCCGCCTCCTCCTTCTCCTTCCGCGCTTCCATGTTTCTTTCCTTCCTGCCGCGCCCCAGCGACCAAAGTCGTGTCAGTGGGGCGGGGCGGGCGTTTCGCTTGAGACCCCTCATCCCCGATGGTTCTGAAGCCTGACATTCGCAACAGTTGTAACGATTGGGCACCAGTGGTTTCCCACACAGGGCTCATGCGTCAGCGCCGCCCACAAACGTCGCAATCGTTTGCAGCAGTGCAAGGATGGATGGCGACATCTTTGCACCATGGGGCTCGCGCTCTTGCGACGCGTACATTCGTTCTGAACGCTTGCAGCAGCTACAAGGATGAGTGGCGGCTCCTTCCGAAATTGGGGCTCTGATCTAAGCGCCGACGCATGCAGCACATACAAGGATAGGGGGCCGTTCCTTTTCAAGATGGGCCCCTCGCTAGAGACTTCTTTGCATTTGAACACCAAAAAGCTTCAGCAGCTGCACGGTTCGAGCTCGATTCCTTTTCAACAGGGGCTCTCGCTTGAGACTCCCTCGTCGCTCGTGGCCCACAGTGGAACGTTGTGCAACATTCACACGAATGGAGGACGTCATTCTTGTACGCATCTCTTCCTTTCGAAATCGGGGCTCTCGCCCGAGTCGCAGGTCCATGGTGTGCAGGGCTTTCAGGGGGGCGCTCTTGGTAGTGGCACGGACGGCTTGTATGGACGTGTGCGGAGGGGGCTTGCGACGGCAGGGTGTCTATGCAAGCATCGTTGATCCATCTTGATTTTACTCTGGTCCCCCTCCTCTTTCCTCCCCATGGGGCGAGGAGGAGGGGGAGGAGGAGGAGGAGGAGGAGGAGGAGGAGGAGGAGGAGGGTAGGGGGCGGGGGCAGGGGAGCAGGAGGGGGTGAAGGAACGGCAGCAGCCGGCGGAGTGGGAGGCGGGAGAGGCTCACCCGCGCCCCCTTATCACTTTCGTCTTCGCCCGGTCTCCTCATCTTTCCTCACATGGGCCAGGTTCGCGGGTGCGGCGGGGATCTCCGCGCAGGGGGTGTGGGGGGGGGGCACCGACGGACTGCCGCACGGGCGGAGAAAAGGGAGAGGCGGGGAGTGGGGACGGGGGAATGGAGGGAGGGGGAGAAAGAGATGATGATGATGATGATGATGATGATGATGATGATGATGATGATGATGATGATGATGATGATGATGATGATGATGATGATGATGATGATGATGATGATGATGATGATGATGATGATGATGATGATGATGATGATGATGATGATGATGATGATGATGATGCTGATGCTGATGCTGATGATGATGATGATGATGATGCTGATGCTGATGCTGATGCTGATGCTGATGCTGATGCTGATGATGATGATGATGATGATGATGATGATGATGATGATGATGAGGCAGATGAGGGGGAGGGGTGGTGGAGGACGAGGAGGGGAAGGAGCACCTAATTAGGCGGCAGAGGGGGCATGAGTGAGGGGCACTTGCCAGGTGGTGGACGAGTGTGGTTGGCACAGGTCGGCAGAAACGCGAGGCAAGGAGGGAGGTGTTTACGGTCCGTCATCCTTTCTTATTTCCTTCTTCCCTATCTCATGCTCTCCCGTCTCCTCCCCAGAGGAGAGGAGGAAGAGGAGGATGAGAAGGAGGAGGAGGAGGTGGAAAGAGGATGAGCAAGAAGGAGGAGGAGGAGGAGGAGGACGACGACGAGAAGGGGGTGGGGAAGAGGAAGCCCAGTCTGATCTCATTCGGTCCATTCCTGGCCCGTCTGTTCCATGTCTGCCCATCAGGGCAGCCCAAGCCGCAGGGACTCCGAGGCGTGAGCAAGGAGGTGGCGGAGGAGGAGGAGGAGGAGGAGGAGGAGGAGGAGGAGGAGGAGCGAAGGAGGACCGACGGCGATAGCAAAAGGAGAGAGGGGAAGGAGAAGGATCATGACTCGAGAGGGAGGGAGGAGAAGGAGAGGAGGCCGACCCCCAGCGCCCTCGGGGCTTCCCCATCGCCCGGGGCCCCGGCGCTCTCGGGGAGCGTCGCGCCGCCGGCCGGCGGTGCCCCCGAGGCCAGCTCCACGAAGCTGCGCGGGCGCGTCGTGGACCTCACCGAGGCGGAGGAGGCGCCGCCGCGCGGGAGTGCTCGGGCGATCGCAGCAGTGGGTTGTACAGTCGGGGCCCTGACGAAGGAACCCTTTTGGTTGGGGAGGGGCTCCGCGCTCCTTCAGTGTTTCACGGCTTGCCTCCGGTTTTCCTTATGTTTCCGATCGGAAGTCGAAGTTCAATTTATGGAAAAAATCGGGCCTCGTTCCTTAATTAAGGTTTTTTAGGTCAACGCCCCGACTGTAAGGGGGCGTGCATCGATTGGCGACGGGTCCC